AAATTATTATTAAAAAAAGTTCGTTCAACAGAAAAATATGTAAATGGAACAGAATAATAATGAAATTTGAAAAATTTTATCTCCTCCATAATTTTTGAATTTCCTATATATTTTTTAAGAATCTCCTCTATAGTTACTTTTAAAAATTGGCAACCCTAGCTAAAACGCCCACTTTTACCACCTCTTGATAAATTTATCCGATAGATAAATCCAGCTCTTAGCCAATGAGAGCGCTTAAAACCGCTGTTACCATGGCAACTATCCTCTAGATAGTTTATCAGGAGGATGGTAAAAGTGAGTCTAAATAAAGTATAAGATAAAACATGGTGTCAGGTCTGGGGTGTCTAGAGTAGGATAGAGTCGCTCTAGGAAGCCAGCGGAAAGAAAAAGTGTTAAGAAAGCATCATTAGAAAAACATAACTGTTGCGACCGGCGTGGCACGGTAACATTCCAGAATATTCGAATCGACGAATAATAAGGTATCTATCTTCATTTTATATTGATAGAACAGTAGTTAGGGTAATTGATTAGCAGAAAGTACATTGCTTTCATTGTATAAAAAGAAAGAAAAAGATAATAAAATAATAATAATGGCAGAGCAAATTGAAACAAATGAATTGCTAAAATTGATATAACAACAAACAGAAAATTTGCGATTAATAACTGAAGGTTTAAAGAAGAAAGATGAAATAATTCCTACCATACCATGGCCAGCACCGTTAAATGTAGATATATTGCCAAGAACTATGAGCATTTTTTAGAAAATTGGAATATATATTGTTCCGCTAGTGGTGTCGATAAATGGGGTACAGATCAAAAATCAAAAAAAAGTAAAAAAAGAGGAAGTATAATAGATTTAATATAACAGAAGAAGATAAATGTTCTCTTAAAAGTATAATTAAAGTTATGCAGAATGAACTTTGTACAAAAATAAATATTATTTACGAAAGAGTTATGTTTAATAGCTGTAACCAGGACAGTAATGAAAGATTTGAAGATTATTTAAGAAAACTACAGACCTTAACACAAACTGATCTTTTAAACGATAGGATCGTCCTGGTAATTGCAAATCGAGATTTACGACGAAAATTAATGGTAAAGACAAAATTGATACTCGAAGAAGCCATGGATATATCGTCGCCGGGCGTGCAATACCTCTAATGTGAATAATTACAAATTTTACAGGAGAACGAAAAAACTATATAATTGAAGGAGATTCGGAAAAATATCATAAAAAATTGTATTGACGCTGATTTATATACATTTTGAATGTAACAGATCACACAAAAACAATCGGAACACCTTTTTTCTCCAAAAATTCGCTTATGCAAGTCACATTGGGGGTATTGCTACATTTTAAAATATCACATTGTTGGTATTTACCACTTTACGGTTTCATTGTACCTATTTTAGGATTTAGAAATAATATATTTGTGCAAAACAAATAAAAGCCCTGTCTACTCAAAAATTTATTTATTATTATATTATTTATTTATGCATAGAAATTTATCAAAACGCTTCAAAAGAAAATCAACTTAATTATTCAACTGAAAGAAAAACTTTAGTTTTTAGTTTTCTTCTTTTTATGTTCGTGCGGCAATGCATCGTAAAATGGATGATGATCTTTTTCTATAACTCCCTTTAAGTCTTGCAAGTGGTTGTATTTGTCGTCAGATATTGGCAGTTGTCTTTTATAAAGCGGCATAGTGTAAGAAGCAGTTTCTTGAGGACATCTTCGATGAGGTAATTCTTGCCAATTTTTAGAGTAGTCCAAGGTGTATAAAACTTTACCATCAGGTAAATATTTTATTTGACGAACATCGACTACAACGGGATCTCCCACACGCTTTCCTGGCCTAATGGACGGAAAATTAGAAGGCATTTCATATTTTTTAAAGAAAGTGTGATCTAGAACTTTTATCTCGTATGGAAGATTTGGTCGAGCCAGCCGCATTCTTGCCACGTAGTCAGTCGGCGAGTTGATAGGAGGATGGAAGTAATGTTCTAATGCTGAATGGACAGAATCAGCTTCCATCATGGTATGTCCCTTTTCTAAGAAAAGCTGGTGAATTGTTACTTTTTTTTCAACGGCAAAGTCATTAAGAGCACTTGCCAAGACCTTATTGCGGTTTTGATAGTTGCATCCGTCCGAAATCAGAACAAATGATCTAATTTTGTTCTGGTCCTCCAGCTTGGACAGCAAGTAATCAATTACACAGGACGTGAATTCATTCGATGAAACTCCGCCATTGGCTTCGTGCCATACATATAGCGCAACCCTTTTGTCGTTTAACGAATAAATGGTAAAATTGTGTAGTTGTAGCTTCAGCTTATAGTAGCTTACTGAAGCTAGGAGTTTTGGGCATGTCAAAACACTCTGAAGGTCCATGGTGACAACAAAGTTTTCATCACTTGCACTAGCCTTCAGAGCTGCTTTTTCTTCTCTACCAGCTTTTTCTTTTCCACGGTGAAGATTATATTCGACTTCAGAAACATTTCCACATTTATAACCAACACAAGTATCACATTGATCTTTGCGAGGTTTGTGGATAGAAATTTTTTCATCCCTTAAAATACATTTAAATGATTTAAGGTGCGTTACTTCTTTTTCATTTTCTGTACACCAAGTCTTGTATATTTTATACATATTTTGTTTTGAAACAAAAGCATTGTCAACATAATGTCTAGATGAAGATGCTCTACAATAGTGTGACGGTACTTTTGGTATCAAACTAAGCCACTCAACAACAGTGCGGCTTAATTTCTGTTGCTGTATACCTTGACGAGTTTCTTTTTTGTTATTATTCATCGGAACTTCCGAGTGACTTATAGTATCATCTGTAGATGACCGACCTGCTTTCTTTTAGCCATCTCTTCAAGCAGTCTTCACCCAAACTTAAAGTATGTAAAAACATCTTGTGACAAACTTTGAGTCTTTCCCTATTTCGCTTCGTAAGAAAATAGTCATGACCTTCATTTTTCTTGAAATCACCATCCTTATTTTTTATGTCTTTTCTTCGTCTGCGAATTGGTCTGGTGACAATGAGATTTCGGATAAATAGTTTTTTTTTCATTCCAAGTATCTAGCTTCCATAGTCTTCGAAAAAATCTTGTCTGTCCTCATCGGTAAGTGAAGCGCACAAAAAGATTTTTTTGTTATTTTTTCTATTTCTATTGTCTTGTGATTGCATCTTGCCTTTAGATGTCTAGCTTCCCTTGGAGTACGTGTTATATGTTTTTCTTTATTTCTTCTGTAACCTTTATAACCTTTACCTCGAACTCTTTCTAATTTTGTTTCTAGCTTGTCTCCTCGCTTTAAATGTGTCCTTTTCTTTAAAATGATTTCGCCTTCCTCATCACTACTTTCTGGCTCAAAATCAGAACCGTTTTCTGCATTTTTTATTTGTTTATATTTTTTACCCATCTCTGTACCTCCTCTAGAATCAGAATAAGGATCTTCCGATTGTTTTTGTTCTTCTTTGCCCTCTACTGCATCTTTGACGTTCTCGAACTTTTCACCGACTTCATCCTCTGTTTCTTCGTTGTTTTCCATGATACAAGGATCTTCGACAGATCCAAAATCAGTGTCTCTTCCTGCGTTCTCCGTCTCCTCTGGAACGTGAATGAGCACAAAATGTGGACTTCTTCGTAATTCTTCGAGTTCTTCAAGTCCGATGCTTGGATTTTCACCCAGACCAAACGTTGAATGCCTATCTGCAGTTTCTACCTCATTCGATTTTTCCAGGACCGTGTCATTCGTGTGCAGGTATCTATCATTATTACCTGGCTCCTCTACGTAAATAATGCCATTACACGTTTCTATTTGAATTGTCTTCTTTTTTTCTTCTATCAGATTGGTGTATTCCAATGGTTGTGGTTGTGGAACTGCATCTTCAATTTTCTGCGACATATCATCATTCACTCTATCAAGCGTCCCATCGGAGCTAACTACATAAATAACACCAATGTTGCTTAATTGCACATTGGGTATATTTCTGTCATAGTATTTGGGCATGCGTCACATTGGCGATTGAAAAAGTTGTTTTGAATACCATGTTAGTGGACTGCGGAACATTAGAGATATCGCCAGAAGATGCGGCAATCTCCAATACGTCTTTTAGTGTCAAAACCTAGATTTAGGAAGGTACGTCACATTGGAGGTATTGCACGCCCGGCGACGATATGAATTTCGTTGTTTTATTAGTTGTTAATGGTAACACTTCCGAATCGGAGTCTATTACAAAAAAACTTTTATAACAAAAGTTGTAGCAAATTTTATTTTTAACAATACTTCTCTGTTCCACTTTTGTTCTTAGATGCGTCAATATCGAGGAATATACGAAAATATAAAAATTTCTTTAATTTCCTTGTTTTACAAATAATGTATTTATTTTTGAGTTATAACTAAAGTTGTAGCAAAAATGACTCGTTGTTTTTCAAAATGTAATAAACAGCAAAATTGTTATCTGCAATAGAAACTATTTTTCTTACGATTAAAGAAATTTGCTGTAATATCAAATTAAAAATATTCCTCTCTCGTTCTTAATAAATATTTTGTATATTCATAACTTATGTTAAATCCCAACTCAGCGTGACAAATCACTTTCTCTCGCTTTGAAGCAATAACATCTTGTCATTGCAGATAATAAGCAGTTTGTTTCTTTTTTTTGATTATAAACAAATGTTGTTTGTACACGAAGTTGCCCTCAAATAAGTGGTATAAATACCCCCAAAACAATTTAATAAACTTAGTTCGTATAATCAACGCATTAAATGTAAGTTTTTTTTAAACGTATTTAATATGATATTTCAGTTATCTTAAAGTTTAATGCAAAATATTTATATTAATAAAACTATTTTAATCAGTGCAATAGCTTTATCGCAATCTATTTGTTTATTCTATCGTTTTAGAACGATATAAAATTCAAAGTTTAAAGTCATCTAATTAAGAAATCGCATGTTAATCCGAGTTACGCTATAAAATTAAGATTCATGCCAGTCATGTAGAAATTAGACGTTCCGTTTTTTATTTCGTTCATTCATTTCAAATAAATAACCGAGGCAAAATCAAATTTCATTATTCCAGATTACGAGTTAAATCGAAAACGTTAAAATGGAAGTCTTCATCGTTGCATTATTAACATTAACCTATTTGGTTTATTATTATTATAAAAAATCGTTTCAATATTGGGAGAAGAAAGGTGTTGCTCAAATTAAACCAAGTTTTCCATTCGGAAACATTGAGAACCCGATGACAAGCAAAGGAGGAACCGTAATGAATTTAGCCGACTTACACAAACAATTTAAAGCAAAAGGAGAAAAAATCGGAGGGATTTACGCCGGCTTCACCCCAATGCTCCTCATCGTCGACCCAGATTGGGTTAAAATCATCGTAAGTAAAGATTTTAATTACTTTAATAGCCACGCTGCGGTTTTCGACGAAAAAAGTGAGCCATTAGAAGCGCATCTCTTCAATTTAGAAGGGGCCAGGTGGAAAGATATGCGAGTTAAAATGACACCAACTTTTACCTCGGGAAAAATGAAGATGATGTTCGACACTTTATTAGTATGTGGAAATCAGCTTGAAGAATTCATCGGTTCCAACAAAAAAGATTTAGATGTAAAAGAAATTTTAGCTTGCTTCTCCACCGACGTAATCGGATCTTGCGCTTTTGGATTAGAATGCAACAGCTTTAAAAACCCCAACGCTGAATTTCGAAGACATGGAAGAAGATTATTCGAGCCTAGCCTAAAATTTCGATTAACAAACGTCCTCACGATGATTTCTCCTTCGCTTGTAAAAAGTTTAAAGCTTCATTTCACCGATAAATGCTCGTCGAAATTTTTCCGGGGTGTTGTAAAAGAGACTTTTCAGTATAGAAAATCGAAAAATGTTACCAGAAACGATTTTATGCAACTTTTAATCAACCTGGAAGAAACTGCCAAAGAAAATAATAAACCGATGTACACCATTGATGAAATGGCCGCGCAAGCTTTCGTTTTCTTTTTGGCTGGATTTGAAACGTCTTCAACCACGATGAGTTTTTGTTTGTACGAATTAGCTCATGCTCAAGATATTCAAGATAAACTTCGAAAAGAAATTAACGAAACCATTAAAAAGCACGGTGGAAAATTAACTTACGATGCAATCATGGAAATGAAATACATGGACCAAGTCGTTAATGAAACTTTAAGGATGTATCCACCAGTTCATACTCTCCCAAGACTTTGCACTCAAACTTACAAACTTCCGAATGGATCAACCATCGAGAAAGGTACTCATGTTTTTATAAGCTTAATGGCTTTGCAAAGAGATGAGGAATATTTCCCCGAGCCGAATAAATTTAACCCGGATCGATTTTCTGATGAAAATAAACGAAATATCACTCCGTATACTTTCCTTCCATTCGGGGAAGGACCAAGAATTTGTATTGGTAAGCTTCGAAATTAAGTTTAATTTATAAGTATTAACAAAAACTTTTTAGGTCTACGTTTTGGAATGATGCAAACTAAAGTTGGATTAAGTTTAATTTTGAAAAATTACAGAGTAACTCCTCATGAATCTCTAAGTTATCCCATGGAGTTTGATAATCAATCTCCTGTTTTATCTTCGAAAGGAAAAATTATACTCAAACATGAAAGAGTGTAACTAAATGTTGTTATCCAGTATATTATTGGTTTATTAATTTAATATTATTGTATTATATTTGGTTATACATTATAATAATAAAATGTCATTCGTATAAATACTCCTACAGTATTATTAATCGATAGTTTACACAATACATCCTCTGCACGGGAGAGTTAGCTAAAATATGCCAGGATATTAGGCAGGTTCCTATTATTCCTTCTCACTCCGTTTCGCTATTGAATAACAGATGACTCAGATGCTCAGAAACTTTGTGACAGAATTAAAACGCTATCAAAATGCACTCAGTAAAGGCCTTTGGAATAAAATTTTAGCAAAATATGCAATCCCCCTATTTTAGCATAGTCTAAGTGTAAAAAAAGATGCTAATTAAAAAATTCCTGAAAAGCGTGTTTATTGAAATTAAGAAATAAAACTTATTTTAAATTGAAGCTTAAAGCTTTCTGTTTAAATCGATGTATAACAATCGATAGGTTGAATTAGAAAAATATTGAGAAAAAGATTGTTAACTAACATTTTCGTATAACCTAAAAGTGTCAAAAAAGATGCTAATTTAAAAATTCCTGGAAGCCGTATTTATTGAAATTAAGGAATGAGACTTATTCTAAATTAAAGCTCAAAGCTTTCTCTTTAAAATGATGTATAATAATTGTTGGGTTGGATTGGAAAAATATTGAGAAAAAAAATGTTGAAACAAAACTTACATTTTCGTATAACCTAAAAGTGTCAAAAAAGATGCTAATTTAAAAATTCCTGGAAGCCGTATTTATTGAAATTAAGGAATGAGACTTATTCTAAATTAAAGCTCAAAGCTTTCTCTTTAAAATGATGTATAATAATTGTTGGGTTGGATTGGAAAAATATTGAGAAAAAAAATGTTGAAACAAAACTTACATTTTCGTATAACCTAAAAGTGTCAAAAAAGATGCTAATTTAAAAATTCCTGGAAGCCGTATTTATTGAAATTAAGGAATGAGACTTATTCTAAATTAAAGCTCAAAGCTTTCTCTTTAAAATGATGTATAATAATTGTTGGGTTGGATTGGAAAAATATTGAGAAAAAAAATGTTGAAACAAAACTTACATTTTCGTATAACCTAAAAGTGTCAAAAAAGATGCTAATTTAAAAATTCCTGGAAGCCGTATTTATTGAAATTAAGGAATGAGACTTATTCTAAATTAAAGCTCAAAGCTTTCTCTTTAAAATGATGTATAATAATTGTTGGGTTGGATTGGAAAAATATTGAGAAAAAAAATGTTGAAACAAAACTTACATTTTCGTATAACCTAAAAGTGTCAAAAAAGATGCTAATTTAAAAATTCCTGGAAGCCGTATTTATTGAAATTAAGGAATGAGACTTATTCTAAATTAAAGCTCAAAGCTTTCTCTTTAAAATGATGTATAATAATTGTTGGGTTGGATTGGAAAAATATTAAGAAAAAAAAACATTTAATTAAAGTTGAGAAAATAAAACCAATTTTAGATATGCATTATATTTATAACTTTATTAATTTGTAATTCTTTTATAAAGTTTCATATGAATTGATAGCCTATCCAAAGTAAACCCGGAACAATTCGAACCCTAAATTACTTACAATTAAGTCATACAACGCGATTTATTTTCGTCATTTCATCATTTAGTTTTTATGAATTCGAGGAATGATTCGCTTAAAATCGAAGGGGAGAAACAGTGGAAAAAGCGTTTTATTTTTAGTATTTGTACAATTTAAACTCGGACGTCCAATTCGTTCCGGGCATGCTTCGATTAGAAAAATTTGTTATAATATAATAATTAATAATCATAATTAATAATAATTAATAATAAGAAGAACCAGTATGTACGGGTGGACATGACAAGAACGGAACGAAAACGGTATTTATTTCTTTTTTAATTAATAAAATTCGTTTATTGATTCATTATCGAATTTTAATTTATTTAGATTAATAATTTGAGCATTACAAATGCAAAAAACCGTGTATGTTACGTCTACATCATGTCAGCGTATTAATTAATTAATTTTTTTTTTTATTCATTAATTTGTTGCTTTTTGCGATTACTTCACCTTTCTGTGTTATTATTTTTTTTTCGTTTTTGATGTTGTACAATGTTAAAATATACTCTTACATCTATTATTAAAATACAAGTATCCTGATATATTTGCAAAAACGGGTAAAAAATGTTTTTCTTTTTTGTTTATTATTACAATTAATTTATTAATTTTCTTTTTTATTCTTCAAATAGGTTTCAAATAGCTGTTTTAACAAAGTTTGTTTGCAAAACTGTTCGTATCATATGTCTCGTAATGTTTTATCCTTTTTTAATTTCATTTTAATCCTTTTTAATGTCCACTCTCTTAATAACTTTATACAATATATCGTATTACAAGTTTAGCATGTTATAAATATTTCTTCGATTTTTTTTTAATTAATTAATCTACGTTTTTTTTTTGTTTATATAATATAATAATATTAATTAATTATAATGTTTACAATATGTAGTAGTTTCTTCTTTTATATCGTTTTATTTTAATTCAAAAATAAATCAAATAAACCAAAATTATAATTTATAATCGCGTCCAGTTGTTATTTTTTTTGTACTTTACTGTGGACTGCCTTTATCCGTTTTATTTCACCTCTTTATCTAGTTAAAACGTTATAATACTGTATAGAAGCGTTCGGGAGAAAGCTCAAAAAGACCTAATGACTAGAATAAATTAGGAAATGATTAATTGTAAGTAACATGGCAAGTATAGCTTGTTTTCGAAATTTTCTCATTTCTTTGATAAGTACTATATGTATATTTTATACTTTTTTCAATTTTAATAATAATAATAATAATAAATAGATAGTAATAATATATTACAATATGCAGAGATCAATATTCTAACAATTGTTTTATTTTCTTAGTTTTTTTTTTAAATTGGCAAATTTCTCTAGCATCACAAGAATTGTGTGTGTGTTTTGTGTTTTCGATTTGAAAAGATTGAGGAATATTTATTTTTGGTTTTGCTGACTAGATTTTAAAATAAAATTTCTTGTTTATTAGGTATCATTTACGATCGTAAAATTCTTGTTTAAAAAGTGTAATTTCTTTTTATTTATAGTAAATTAAATGTAGTTGAAACGATTCACTTATTACTAACGTTATATTATTGTCTGTTTTATTAAAAAAAAATTATTCTTATTTTTTTTTAATGCAAAGGAAATGAAAGGTTTGCAAAAGTGTTCTTGGATTGATCAATTGATTTATAATGGTTCGGAATTTAGAAACACCCTGTATATACTTATTAGAAAATGTTTGGAGATATTACAGAATATTTTCTAATAATAAAACTCTTTTCCCCTACTTTTAGTTTTCGAGATATAACCTATACTGTTGTTGAGAACGTCAAAATCGGATTTTTTAGATTGTAATTAAATAGGTTCGAAATAGTCAACGTTGGAACAAAAACGATTATGGGAAATGTTTTTGGAGATTCTACAGAATATTTTCTAATAACAAAACTCTTTTCCCCTACTTTTAGTTTTCGAGATATAACCTATACTGTTGTTGAGAACGTCAAAATCGGGTTTTTTAGATTATAATTAAATAGGTTCGAAATAGTCAACGTTGGAACAAAAACGATTATGGGAAATGTTTTTGGAGATTCTACAGAATATTTTCTAATAACAAAACTCTTTTCCCCTACTTTTAGTTTTCGAGATATAACCTATACTGTTGTTGAGAACGTCAAAATCGGGTTTTTTAGATTATAATTAAATAGGTTCGAAATAGTCAACGTTGGAACAAAAACGATTATGGGAAATGTTTTTGGAGATTCTACAGAATATTTTCTAATAACAAAACTCTTTTCCCCTACTTTTAGTTTTCGAGATATAACCTATACTGTTGTTGAGAACGTCAAAATCGGGTTTTTTAGATTATAATTAAATAGGTTCGAAATAGTCAACGTTGGAACAAAAACGATTATGGGAAATGTTTTTGGAGATTCTACAGAATATTTTCTAATAACAAAACTCTTTTCCCCTACTTTTAGTTTTCGAGATATAACCTATACTGTTGTTGAGAACGTCAAAATCGGGTTTTTTAGATTATAATTAAATAGGTTCGAAATAGTCAACGTTGGAACAAAAACGATTATGGGAAATGTTTTTGGAGATTCTACAGAATATTTTCTAATAACAAAACTCTTTTCCCCTACTTTTAGTTTTCGAGATATAACCTATACTGTTGTTGAGAACGTCAAAATCGGGTTTTTTAGATTATAATTAAATAGGTTCGAAATAGTCAACGTTGGAACAAAAACGATTATGGGAAATGTTTTTGGAGATTCTACAGAATATTTTCTAATAACAAAACTCTTTTCCCCTACTTTTAGTTTTCGAGATATAACCTATACTGTTGTTGAGAACGTCAAAATCGGGTTTTTTAGATTATAATTAAATAGGTTCGAAATAGTCAACGTTGGAACAAAAATGATTATGGGAAATGATTTTGGGGATACTACAGAATATTTTCTAATAACAAAACTTCCTTCCCTCACGATTAGTTTTTGAGTTATAATCTAAATTGAATCAATTTGATTGATACAATTCAAGAACACACATTTAAATTTTATACTCTTTCTTTAAACCAAAATTTTACGATCGAAATTTCCCCAAATTCTCTCATACCGATTTTATTTCGCTGAAAACAAACGTTAACAAGGAAGGTTTATGTGTAGGGTTAGTATTTTTTTTACAGGGTTGGTCCCAGCATTATAATGTTGGGTGCAGTTAAACCGAAGGAACTTATACACGGCTAATCACCGAAACTGTTTGATATGTAGTTTTGTAGAATTTGTGTTTCCGCTTTATTTTTTTAATATTATATCTTTATCATCTTATAGTTAATTAAAAAATTATTTTTTTTGTCGTTATTCATAATTCCTTTTTAATCCGACGTTTTCGACGAAACAGTTTGGATCGTTAGCGGTGCATTAAACCGAAATGAACTCAAAAAAGTAGTTATTATTATTATTTATTTCTTTTTTTAGTTCTTTTGAAAGTGAGTTGTAAATGGTTTTTTTTGGTTTCGAGTAAATGAAAGAATTTAATTTGAGTCCGAAATGATTTTTTGAAATAATTCGTGCGCTTTTAAACAATTTGAACAGTTTTTTTGTCTTAATTTATCATCAATACAAATAACTTTTTCGTTCTAGACCCTATATATATATTTTTATCTCATATCCTAATATCGTAGCTAAAATATATTGATGAAAATGGTATATTTATATTTATATATATACTCTGCGACAAACGCAAAAAACTGTATGTACTTTTTTTATAATAATTCTTATCATACATGTAGGTTTTTATTTTGACGAAGCGTTTGTTAAATTCTTACTGATTTACTAAGATTTATATCTTCATTTTTTAATCATTTCTCATATTTTTTTTACCTAACTATACTAAATAATGTACAACGGTAGTGATGGCGTTTGTATCAATCTTTAATCTTTGTGGAACAATAATTTCAAAATTATTTTGAATCCATTCTGATTTTTGGAAAAAAATGGGGCAAGCGTTCCCTATAAACGTCCTGTATATATAACTTTTTTCAAAACAAATTCGCGCTTCTGAATGAATGGACCCGAATTTTTAATCTATTTACAGCAACGGGTTATCAAAGTTTCTTTTTAGTTGTTAATGTATGCGAAAATGTAGCGAAACGTAGTAATCTACGTTTTCTCTCTCATATTTTTTTTCTTTTTTTAATTTTAATTTCTTGTTTTAAAAACACGATGTCCCTTCCACTCGCGATTATGAGAAATATTACATATTAATATAATTGCAAAAACATACCCTGTATCCTAGATCACTTCCGCATTTATACATTTTTAAAAAAGGTTTATCTCAATTGTTATCGCGTTAATCCTATCGAATTATTTTTTCTATATATTTTTTTATTCATTTTTGGCTTAAGGAGGGGCTTATTATTTTTTAATTAAACTAGAAAAATGTTTCAAGAACAATAGATTTTTTTTATAGTTGTTAAAAAATTTTTTTTTGTTGCAAAAAGAATAAATAAATAAATAAATAACAAAGAATTCTTTGATTTTGGAGATCGATACCAAGGAAACTATTTATTAAAAAAACTGTTTTATATATTAATATATATTATATTATATAAATATCAAAATCGGGGTTTTTAGATTATAGTCAAATAGATTAGAAATAGTCAATATTGGAACACAAACGATTATGGAAAATGTTTTTGGGAACATTATAGAACATTTTCTAATAACAAAACTTTTTTCCTCTCCATTTAGTTTTTGAGTTATAACCTAAACTGATGTTTAAAAATGTTTTATATATTAGTAAAACCGAAGTCGCTTGCGGCCGAGAAGCTACACTTATAACCTTCCCTACTCCTATCTAGTAAATATAAATTAGGAGGAAACATCAGCTATAATCAATTAAGACCAAAAATAATATATTCCCTTCATTGGTATAGAGCCTGTAATGGTCTTAAATGCAACCCCTCGGGCGCAAGCAACCTCAAGGACATCAAAAATTATTAATATTTGTCTACTAAGGTTGCGATCATTTATCTTCACCAGCTTCGAGATTAAAGCCGAGGCGCTACAATTATAAGCTTCTTCATAAATAATCCATAAATGGTCTTGATTGTAGCGCTTCGGCTGCAAGCGACCTTGGCTGTAATCTTTCATCGAAGAGATAAAATACGTCTTAATCCAAAATTTTGATTGATAAAAAGGATGGCGATAAGGTCGTTTGCGGGCGAGGCGCTACAATTGTAACTGATTCCACTCATATTTAATAGATTTACAGTAATAGCTCATTGGTATGAATCAAAATGGTTCTAAATAGTTAAAAATATCCTTAGGATACTTAATAACCACAAAAAATTTAAAAAACAAGATTTTGACGTATAGTCAAAGTGTTTGAAAGGTATCAAAATATAAAAAAACCTTATTGGTGAGATATCGATCTTCAAACATAATTTAAATTTAATTTGGAGAAATTTTTGCAACAATTAAAATTTTTTTTTAACAATTATCTTCATTAATCCATTGTCCTAAAAAAACAGAACCTTCTAAACAACTTGTTGCGCTTTAACCATTGCACATTTAATTCCCCCAGTATTTGTTGCGTTTTATTTCATCCTTTTTTTGCTTTCTCAACCTTTAAGGACTAGAACTACGATAAATTCCGACTTTTCATATAAAATTGTACGGCACCTTTTTATTTTTTTCAAATCTGTACAACCACCGATGCAAAACGGAAACAATTTTGTTGTCGTTCTTTATTTATTTGTTTCTTTACGGAATCAGTCGTCAGATTAATTTGTTAATTGTAATTAATTAAATTATTAAAGAAATTAAGTACTACTAGTTTTTTTTTTTAATTAATAAATATATTGCACAATCTCTTTGTAGCTGAATTGACTGGTCAAATTAACATAATAAAAAAAATTTGTTAAAACTTAAAAATAAATATAGTTTATATTATTTTTTTTTAATTTATAATAATAAATATTTTGTAATTTTTTTAAATAGTTAAATATGTTACTAAGAGTACGTCTTAAGTCGCTATAAATTAACTCTAATTGTATTTAACTAAGTTAGCCGTATTTTTTTTGTTCAGGCTTATAATTTGACTAGTGGCCCAGCCATAATAGTGACTGTACCGGACCATGTTTTAACTGGTCCACAAAGCGTGTCTACAACTTGTTCAACAACTACCTCTTTTGGCGACTCACTGCTTTATCTTTATCCTTATTAGTTTTTTTTTTTGATATATAAACTTACGTTAATTTAATAAAATTCATAAATCGCGAACGTATTGTTCTAAAATCGATAAATATGTTATTATTAGTAATTTATTATTCTTATTTCCTGGTTGGACGCACCCAGATTATTTTTTTAACTTTTGGGCCATCCTGAGATTCATCGCAGCAAAACTTAGTCGTTAGAGAGATTTACTCAGTAATATATTACAAGATTAATATGTATATATAATTATATTTCTTTATGTATATAGTATTTATAGTTATATTGGTACTTTGTAAAGATTATGTCTTAATTGTTATGCGTTCTGTATTTCATTTTTTTTTAATTTGTTTTAGTAGAAACGTTATATTATTATTTTTAGTGTTAATTCTTTAATGCGTGTTTAATTCTTCGTACCAAACCTCTTAATCAATCGAAATGAATCGAATCGTCTTTGGTATGTATACAAATGTGGCACTACTTTTACACGTTATTGTAAAATGTAAAAGCAAGGAGAGCAGGTTAATTCGGGAGGGAGTTAATTGTAGTTTAAAGGCTCGGACCCACTATTTAATAATCGAGGTAACGCGAAAATTTTTTTTATGTTACCTCGACTTCACCACCAAATCAAAATCATCCTAAAACCACACTAAAATACGATTTGGCAACTTTTAATTAATTAGACCATGTTACACCTCCGCCTCGATGCCCGTATATAATTAATTTTTTTTTCGTCACAGTTATTAATACTTATAGACACACAACGACTTACAACGAATATATGAGTAGCTCTCAAAATAGTTGATATTTTCACCGTTATCATTATTACTATTAAAACTTTTTTATATACGAGAGAAGACAAAACGGCCTGTACAACAAACACTGATTTGTTAATTAGTCACAGCCCATTTGGAATTCCGCGTAGGGGCATCGCGACGGTGGCTAAGTCTCGCACATTTCTCTTTTATTTTATTTTTATTATTTTTTTGTTGGCGGGTTGGGAGATCCGAGCCTACGGCAACGGCGCCTTTTTCGTACTTCTGGTGACTTGCCCTCCTTAACGATCTCTTTGTCACTGGATGAACGGCATCAGCCCGTCCACGTGGTATCGCCAAGGTTAATAAGGTCTGTTGGCATCCTTTGGCCTCTTCAATTGAACTTTTAATCGTTTCATGCCGATCTGGAAGCCGTTCATCGCTTGAATCGCCGCTTGTGCACTTGCCGGATTATCAAATGATACGAAACCTGTCACAAAAACGAAGACTATTACTATACAAACATTAATAATCAATTTTTTAAAACACTTCAATTTATATTTTATAAAAATCGACCACATTAGCTCCCAATAGCTCGCATTTACTCCGAATGGCTTCCATAAACATGTTATATAATATCTTTTACCTTTACTTGCTCTCAATTACTCCTAAGTCCCACACATCATTTTTAAACTCTCCCATTGTCTCCGAATTACTTCGAATGACTCCCAATGACTCTTAGTACAATCCCTACATAAATGAGAAATGAGCCGAGATACAAATTTTTTTTTTAAATAAAAGATGTAGGAAATTAACCACACTATAAGCCGAAAATATTTTTATACATACAGGATGTTCCATATCGACGTACCGAAATAAACATTGTTATTTATATTGACACCTAGCGTTCTTAGTTTTTGAGTTATTTTAATTAGAATTTTTTTTTTAGCAATCAACACCATGTCTTTTAAATCGTAATTTCTCAGCGACCGAACGAGCTAGAAAATCAAAATTTGGTATAGTTGCTGCTTCGATGTCCTTAAATAGGACACCTTTGGCTATATTGGCCGAATTAACCGATTACACATAATTTGTTCATATTTAATTGTCGTATTGATCGTAGAAGAGTTTATGAACAATTGTAAAATACAGGGTGATTCACATAAGAACCGACACAGAGCAATAAATTAAGATGATTTAACGTAACTTACCTCTATACTAAGTTGTACACCTTCAAAGTTGGCTTTTAAATTTTTGTAAAGGTCAATATCTTTGTAATACATTAAGCTAGAAAAATCAAATTTGGTATACGTTATGAGTGTACCAAGGGTATTAATTGGTAGCAAATTGAACTCATTAACAGATTTTTTTAACCTTTTGACAATTTTAATACATTACTACTTCATTTCACGTGGAATTTAATTCTAAAACTTTTCTTACTTTTATTATTTTTTAAAAAACTTTGTCGTTTTCATAAAAAACTTAAATAACTACACTTATACAGGGTGTTCCGGTGACTCGGGGCATAAAATTAACCTCATATACTAGAGCAAAAATGATGACGATTCGTGAAAAAAAATTATTATAAAAGTCTTCAAATGGCCAAGATATGGGCCATCAAAGTTCAGAAATTTTAACACATTTTTCTAAATATTTTCAATACCATTTATGGTAGAGCGTTGAAATTTGGTACAGGGTAAACAAATATCAAGCAAAATCATTGAACCAATTTTGACTTTGATCGGGCGGCGGCAACCATGCTATACAGGTGTCCCTAAAATTTGTTTGCTCAGAACTTTTTTGTTCGCTCGTAACCCTACATTTATTTTTGTACTTTTTAATAGAAAATTTATTTTAGAAACTATTATCACTCTTTGAAAATTTTGATAACATTTACCGTTTTCGAGTTATACGCGAAAATGTTAAGCTTTGATTTCAATCGTAACAAACAAAAAAAGGAAACATATTCCGCAAGATCTGAGTTGGCGATGACAATTCAAAAACGAACTGAGCTAATAACTATTATTTGCATACATTTCTAAGTGCAGACTTAGTTAAATCCAGTGTTAATTTATTTTAGTTGAATAAAAGAATGTAATTTCCAAAACAATAAATTTAATTTTCACGGTTACAACAAACAAGAACATAACAAAAATTCTAACAAAAATATTAACAAGAACAATAAAATTATAAACAAATAGTAATAAATAAAAAAGAAGAAAAAAATACTAAAGCAGATGTTCAAAAACACTGCCTGATATCGCCGTCTTAAATTAAAGCGCACTCTGCGGAGACCATTGATCTCAGTTCGAAGTTGATCAAATGAATCAACAATTCGCAACCTCAGTTGATCAAGTGAAGTTATTTCAACGCAGTAAAATAGTGATTTAACGCGTTCCCATAAATAAAAATCTACAGGTGTAAGATCCGGCGATCGTGGGGCCAACTTATGGGTGCACCTACTCCTCGTTCAATCCACCGTCCCGGAAACGTTCCCTCAGAAATTCTTGGACAGCCAGTGTGTTATGCGCAGGAGCACCATCGTGCATATACCACATTGCTTGCCTTGTGTTTAAAAGAACATCATCTCAAAAATCATCTAATTTGTCTAAATGTCGCCTGTACGTATGTCCATCCAGCCTTGATGGTAAGAAAACGGGTCCAATAATTACATCGCCCACAATGCCAGCCCAAACGTTATGAGAAAATCTCCATTGTGATTTCCAAGTTTTCTTAAATCTTGGATTTTCGTCCGCCCAAC